TGAGAAATGGAATCAAAACATTCTCTGCAGTCCGGCTGAGAAAATAAGATTTTTTTGAAATGTAACTTCAGTATTGTGTTAACAGTGAGGTGAATTCGAGGCGCAGAGCGATGGCGTCGGAGGAGGAGAGCAAGAAGGCCAACCAGGCTCGACGGGAGGCCGAGGCCGAGAGGCGTCTGGCGGAGAAGGAGAGGCAGGAGAGAACAGCTGAGTGTCTCAGCTGGAGGGAGAAGCACCAGGAGCTCGCCGACAATTTCAGAGCTCAGGAGGACCTGAAAGCTCTAAGGCAGAACAAAGCAGTGAGAAAATGACCCAGACATCCATTACTGTTCATCACATCTCCCTAATACCGAACATCACACACTCGTGTTATTTGAAGGAGACAAAAAAGACGTCGTCCAACTGGTTAACTCGGATTGAGTTGGATTTTAGTCTGATTCACACCAAAGTCTTGTGAAATATGCCTGAAGGGCTTCACTGACATTACACACTTGCAGCACTGCTACTCAAGAATGACATGCTTTCATTAAACAGTCTGTACCAATGGACATTTCTTCCTTTCCTTTTTTGCATTTTTAAAACGTATTTCCAAGTCTGTGGTTAATACATTTCTAAGCAACATTTTATGTTTGTTTTCCAATAGTGTCAGGCCAACATCAAGAGTTATTTCCTCTGTATGACAGAAAGCGATCAAAGGGTGAAAATCCTCAAAAATCAAGACGGCAACCCCAGAAATTTTACGGTGAGATGCCTCTACAGCTGTGTTTACGAAGTTATCTAACAACTTAAGGTTTAGGTTGTTGATAAAGCGACCAGCTTTAATGTTATATGATTTTGTTTAGGAGGGAGACCCTGTGTACATCTCCACCCCGGAGTCCACTCCCGAAGAGCCTGAAAGAAGTTCATCCAGGTAACGCTGTGCTAAAAACTGAAAACTTCACTAACCATGTGCTCCAAACTCCAACTCACTCATTTTTTAATGTATCCTTTCTCAGGACCATGTTAAGAGTCTCTGCCCCACACATGGGACTGGGGAGGGATCTGGGACCGAGTCACTTCGATGAGCTACCCGCCTTCGGAGGAGAGCGACCCGACTCTGCCCCTCAACGCAGAAGCAGGAAAGTGGTGGAATACTTCTGGATCCCCACTGACCAGGAGTAGTCAACAATTAACAATTTGTCATAGTGACGAAGGGTAAAACCTGCATTGTTTGATCTTGATAGCAGGAAGAAATTTTTCACAGAGCAGATTGTGACTGAGGAAAACGCTGAGATGACACAGCAGACACCCAAACCTCCAGGCCCTGGTCCACCTTCCCAACATGTCTATCACTACAGAGCCTGAATCAACTTCTCCTGCCTCAAGTCACACAGTGGGACGTCTTCCTCATTCTTTAAACTCAGCTGAAGAACATCTCAAAAACTAGCCATCTGCTGCTACCAGTGGTAACACTTCCAAAACACGTTCCTCTCATTTTGTACGTTACACATTTGTTTCTGTGGCTGACTAAAATGAGCGACTGTATCTGCATTTGCAAATTAGTTTGAATGTCAATTTCAAGTACTTTTAAATTACTTTCAGGATTTTGTGTTATGACATTCAAGGAAACATAGTTAGGATTGGATGACAATTATTCCTAATTAGGGTGACACAATTATGTTGAAAAGGTCAAGAAGAGGAGGATTTTTTTGTTTTTTAAATTAAACAGAACTTTGAAACTGAAACACTGGGGATACAAGAGTCAACAAAAACTAATTAACTAAAGAGATATATAGTACTGGTAAATTAATACACTTGTTTCCATCTCCACTGCTTTCCACAAGCTCTTCAGCAAGGCATTTAAAGTCCAGGCGCTTCTGTGGAGCCGCTCACAGACTGATCAATGATCAGATTGTCCTCGTTTCAGATGTGAAAATTGTGGAACAGAGTGTGATCATTTTGATGCAGTGTTTGAATATGTGCAGGAAAGCAATGTAAATAACAGTGACAAACAGTTTTGGTGCTCATGTACTGGACTTTATTGACATTAAAGCAATAGGAGGTGCACAATATTTTTGAATAGCTTACAATTTAATCCAAATCCATTGCCTTACAGTTCTTGGCTAAAAGTTGTTTCTTAGCGTTGCTTATTATTTATTTTGCTGTTAGACTTATTTTAGTAAGGGGGAGGAGGGGGATTAACTTATATAAAGGCTTTTCTTTTGCCAATTTAAGAAAAACAAAATGTACTCGTTTTTTTATCCTAACAGGCCACATTTGCACCGTCACTGGACGAGAGGAAACCCCCCGCATCTTACAGTACATTTTTCAAAGAGGATGCTGAGCTGTCGAATTAATAAAAACAAGCTTTTGTTTTGTTCTCAAACAATATTTGTAAACCGTGTGAAGCTTTGTAGGAAAAGACTGCTTCAGTAAATTTATCGTGCAATTAGGCCAGGACTAAATCAAATACTTCAGCATGTGCTTGGGATCTAGGTTCTTCTTAGATTTCATTATCCCAGCACAAAAACAAACAAACAAAAGCCCATCTAACTAAGAGGTAGAAACACAGGCAACTTTGAAACGTTTACGGCGGCACACCAATGATTACAACTTTTAAATATTGTAACATTTGGAGGATAATGAGTATTGCAACCACTCATGTAATAAAAGACAACAAAAAGGGGACAGTTAACTAAAAAAAAGGGGGGGGGGGATCTCCTGATAGGGGAGAGTTCACAAAAAAAAAAAAAGGGATTGGTTTTTAGGTCGACTTAACACGCACCTTAATTCATTTAGAAGAAGTCTTGCCAGCTTATGCTCCACTCTCACTTCAGTGGGCCCCCTTGCCATTCATTATACTTTCTAAAACAAAGGCTGAATATCACAGTCTTTGATTTTTTAAGGATCACATGAGCATGATGGAAAGAAATCCAGGCCGGGCCCTTACAGAAGATCACAAAGCATGTCACTGACAAAAACCTTTTTGTTAATGGTCTTGTGTCTTTAACTAGCATTAGCAAAAAGGAGCACTTGTTTCACTTTTGGGGTGGGGGGGTTCAAATCAGTAAGAATCGAGTGGAAATGGAAAAACATGCAATACAGTGAAAAAAAAAAAAAAGTTACAAACTCAACACAGTCAGAGCAAAAAGAAAAAAAAAAAAAAACACATGGTTGAGCCACTCCAGACTTCAGAATTCATGTAGCTGATCAGGACACAGATCCAAAATCAAACTTCCATTAGGCAACAGGTCAAATGATGCTTCTCATCCTATCGTCACGGTACGGGTGGTAACACATGAGGCCCTACTGGTAACAAGCTTTCGGTTTATATTTGCAAGACAGAAGCAGCTGACTGCCAGGTGGTAGTGGTTAAATTAAGCATGGAGTTTAATAATAAAGGAAAGGCGACTGTAACGATAAGATGAGGTCTACGTCAGGGTGCTTCTGCTTGGTTTCCTCAATCGGCTTCGTCTTCTGACTCCTCCTCCTCCGCCGTCTCCAGCCAGGTGAGCCACTGGTTGACCTGAGGGCGAGAAAAACAAAAGTGAAAAACTGTAAAAATCTATTTGTACAAAAATAAAACGACTGCCCCACGGCTGTATGCCTTCACCGGCCGGTCAAGTTGGTTTACAGCCAGGTAGGTCCAGACTAAAAAAAAATAAATATTTAGTGTATTTGTTAGCTTAATGGAAGTAATCACTATATTGATGGTAGATATGAATTCAGTGAACTGATTAATAAAGAATTCTCTTCTTAATATGCTTGATTCATTTATAAAGACGGTACAGCTATACAAAATATGGTGCTTATATGTTTTCTCCTGACATTTTTAGATGTGACGCCTCTCTAGGAGGTGTCGGTAAAACTCACTCTGAGGATCACCATTAGCCAGGGACGCTCCAATACGCTGACAGGCAGAATGAGATGGAAGGATGAAAGCCCGTCCTGTGCTCGTTATTGTTATGACCCTTGAATCTGTGTGATGTCATTACTGTACCTGGAATAAGGCCTTTCCTTTTCCAGGGAATTCTTGGGTAATGTCTTCTTTCCATGCAAGGAAGGCTTCTTCTTCAATGATCTCCATGTCGTAGAAGTTGACAAAATAGCGCAGCAGCATGCCTTTGAGTGGGGGAAAAAAAACAAAAAAAAACAACATTAAATAATGTTTACACTAAAAAACAAGCCATTTGTTCTAGTAGCAACAAATGCTAACAAATAATTCTGACCAAATTATTTGTTATGATCTATGGTGCCGCTGTCTCTGGTGGACAAACTATGTCTAACATCTAGATCTTACAGACTGTCCATGACTTGGGGGGTTTATTGTACCTTTAGGGAACGCGCTGGCGTTGCAGTGCACCTGCAGGGCGTACAAAGCGCTGACCTGCAGCTCGGTATGGTCGTGCAGGAACTTCTGCATGACGGGCTTGAAGGCCAGCAGCAGCTGTTTCTCCTGCTCCAGCTGCTCTTTGGAGGGAGCCGCAAGCTGCTCGTCGCTCTCCGCCATGCACAGCTCCAGGGAGATGTACTGGAGGAAACTGGGGAGACAGCAGAAGACAATGGTCAATTACATGAAAGGCCCTTCCATATAAAGTTAGACCATTTCCCATTTCTTTGAATTTATACACCATTGCAGTAACAGCCATGACGTCAGACTTCTCCTGTATACCTATTATTTATTTATTTATTTTTTAAGAGTGTAATTGTCAACTGAATATCTTTTCTTTTTTTCTTTTGTTTTATACTCATCAAAATGAACTTGAAAGATATCTGGTGTATAATTACCTGGTCATGAGGATGTTGACAAAACCTTTGTCAGTGTGGAGCTTGGGAGAGATGTTGTCTTTAATCCACTTGTATATGGACTGTGGAGAGGGGTCTGCCTTTATCTGCTTCAGCAGCTCCTTCTCCAGCTTCAGCAGCGGGAACAGGAAGCTCAGGCCCTTCCCCTCCAGGATCTCCAGCATGCGGTCCTTGTTCTGATCGATTTCTGCCGTGGAGAACAGGTTAGTTATTCAGAGGGGGTCACAACAGCCTCGGTGTAATGTGTTTGGGCAGAGGAGTAGGTATTTTATCAGCTGGGTGTCGTGTTGGAACGGTTATGCCTGTAGCGAATTCATCAATGGCTAAGTGAACAACGGGTACAGACAGAAAGTACTGGCAGTACCTGGGAGCATCTTCTGCATGTTGACCTTGCTCTGCTGGAAGAGGTCGGTGAGCCACTCGCGGTCCTTCAGCTTGGCCGTCTGCTGCAGGCAAAGCAGGAAGAGGGGGAAGTGGGTGCCGTTCTCCAGGGGGTGAGCCAGCTCCGCCACGCTCACCAGCTCCGCAATGATGGCCCGGGCTGCAAACTGGGCCAGGTAGGACTTCACCAAGGGCACGTCCAGCTCGATCTTAGGGCACTGGTCCAGGACGTTGAGGAAAGCCTGAATGGCACGAGTGGGAGGAAACAGCACAGCGTGAATAATGATGCAGCCCCCTTTCTGGCCTCATCGGTGACAAATATGTTAAGACCGATTACAGCAGCCTCTAGGGGCATTTCACTGGAATTTAAAAAATGTCACAGTTAATTAGTGAGATGGTTGTTTTCCTCCCCTTTTAAGCAAACCCCTGATATTTAATAGATGTAATTATTGCTAGAGGAGACCATTAGCGGCTACTGTAACCAAGGACCACTGTGTCTTTGTTATTTATACATTTTACACGTTTCACTCTAATCTGAGTGTGCTATAAAATGCTGGATGCGCGTACCTGCATGAAGTTCTCTCCAGTGATGAGGCCCTCGGTGCGAAGTGTGTGGATCAGAGTGCTCGCGTGCTCCTTATCCTCATCAGGACGGTCCAGGGAACACACGATGATCTTACTCAGCATCTCTGGCAGGAAGTGCTTGGGAGCCCTCATCTCGCGCACACCGCTTACAGCCTCAGTCAGGTTCTTACTGTTGAAGTAGTCCGTCATGATCGCCTCCTGGAATGAACACGTAAGCGCGTAGAAATGAGCCGTGGCCGGTTTAAACACCGAGTAGGAAACGTGCAACTTAACTTCTTAGTACACAGCACAATCTTCAAGATGTATTTAGGAAGATTTGTTGATCATTCTCTAGTCTGACTGCTGCTATCAGCAGGAAGTGTACAACATGTTTTATTGCATTGCTGAATCCTCCTTATTTCACTTTACCTTACTCAATCATTGTCTATCATTTATATATTACAGCTACTCTAGACTGAAAACAGTGGAAGGTATAATTTTTCTTTGGTGCCTACAGTCATTTTAAGCAGTTCCTCCCTGGCAGGAGGTGGTTTCTTGCTCGTCTTCTGAGGTTTCTCTTGGATGGGCGGAGGGTTGGTCTTCAGGCCAAGCTGTGGAGGCTGAGGCAAAAGGTCAAGTCATTATTATACAGAGATTAGTTCCACCAAGAAACCATAACATTTTATGATGATTTGGGTTTGGCCAGGTTTTTTTTCCCCTTTTCACATAAAATGATTTTCGATATATATTTTCGAATACATTTCCTTTAACACATTTCTGTATTCTTTAGTTGTGTTCTATCATCTTATCTATGTTATTTAAACTACCCTAGTGGGAAACTGTGAGAAGGGATTGTCTTTTACCTGTCCCAGAGGTGGGGTTTGAGTTCGAGGAGGCTGGGCGCTGGGAGGCATCATGGTGGGGATCTGGGGCTGGAGCTTGGGTACCTGGTTCTTGTTGAGGAGGAATGACTGAGCAGGCCTGAGGCTGATCTGTGGGGCCAGGAGTCATGAACACAGAACATCCAATAGGATTAGTCGTGTTCTTTTTTCAATCAAATCTGTATATTAGCTAAATTCATGCCCTCATATCTCATAATCGCATTCAGCGGACCAGCTACCAGTTTGAAAAAAAAGAGAGGGAGTGGAGGAAGATAAGAGATCAAAGACAGAGTAAAAGACAGAAGAAAGACTGGTGGCAGGTTTTGTTCCTCAGAATAACGCGTCTTTTTATAATCACTGGGCATGAAGACAAAGACAAGCAGGCAGAACTGCACGATATAGCCAGTAGTGCTACTGTGATTAGGCCTTCTGCAATATCTCAACTGCAAAAGATCTGTGTTGGTCCACCACAGATGTATGTGTGTATATATAAGTGTATATACTGTTTAGTAGGCTACACTTCACATCAAAATAACTGCTAGGATGTTATTGGCCATATCCTGCAAACCCAGATACAACTAGTTCTGGTTACCTCATCTGCATTTAGCTGTCCTTTCTTGCTGAAACGTGGAGGCATGTCCTTGGACTGGACCTGCTGCTGGGCCATATGGTTCTGGTTCTGGTTGAGGAAATGCTGGTTCTGAACCTATTGAAGAGCCACGTGGGCATATCTGATCATTTTTTTTGACCTGTGACTTCATGATTTGCAGAGAAATATCAATCGCAGATAGCCTGACCAGTATTCATGTCCACTGGGATTACCTGGTTGGACTTAACAAAAGACTTTGGCCCCATGTCGAACTGTGACTGTGGTTGAGGGGCGATGTGGCCACCGTGGCCGTTGAAGAGCGGGTTGGTGCGATGGCGTCCCATAGTGGGCGAGTACCTATCCTGAATAACCCCCGGACCAGTTCCAATCCCACTGCCTAAGAAAAAAAAGTACAAAACATGATGTTAAGTACCGACACAAAGTGGATGGAAATGAGAGAAACATTGAAGTATTATATGAAATGGGTCATAAGAAAAACAGATCAAAACACTTTGTTTCACTTTAAGCTCATCACCACCCCCACAACTTCAAAAAGGAGTTATTCTTACAGTAAATTAAACATTTTAAAGAGCTTTATAATGCCAGCTGGAAGTAAAGAGTGAGCCCAGTTGTCGTAACTAACAACATGCAAATGCAGTGAAAACACAATGAGATGAGGCTTCAAGGGTCATGGCACCAAGGAACACAGCCCATACCTGGCATCTGTCCAAACATGTCGGCCAATCCCCCGAGAGTCTCCCTGTCCAGTTTCACTCTGTTGGGTATGAAGGGGCTTTCCAGGAAGAAGTCCATCCTCATCCCCTGAGACATGGGTGCTGGGATGAAAACACCCAAATCCTTCAGGAAGACACAGAACGGAGCTGGTGTCATTAAGCTGTCCAGTAACATGCTCACAGGTCTAATCCAGAACTCAACTTGAATTTGTAACATTAACTCAAGCTCTTAAGGACATACTCAACTACATCATTATTATATAACCGTAAACTTGACTGCATCCTGTGCATACTTTATTGTCAGGACAATGTCTTGCTGACTCACACTCCTCACATACGATTGCTTGCTGAGGTAAAGAAACTGAAGGGTATAATTTTAACTTTATTTATGGAGCCCTTTCACGCATGCATGGCCTCAACCTCAGCCTCTGATTCTCATCATCACAAAATGTGGGCGGCCTAAACAATGAGCACCATAATTTCACCTGACTCACTTTCACTGCATCCTGACGGATCTGGTTAATCGTCTTTGGTCCGTTGTCAATGAAAGCCTTGCGGGGGATCCAGTTGTTTTCTCGCAGTTCCACTGTGTCTTGCAGCAGGAAGCGGATCCTAGCAGGCAACTCCTTGTTGTTCATTAAGGATCGCATACGGCCAAAGTACTGATCCATTAAAGACTGGAGAAAGAGTGGAGAGACGTAGCAGTTAACGTTAGCACAAAGGCAAAGAAGAAAAGAGCATGGCAGAGTTAAACAAAACAACAAAAAGACCTTTTACAAGATGTCTAGAAGTTCTTTAGTAAAGCTACTGCATTTCACTTCAGCGTGCAACAGAACTGGTTGGTAGGTTATGCATACGTTAAAGCCATATACAGCCACTCCAGAGGGTTATGGTGCAATGAAAGGCTGGAGCGGTTACCTTTGCTTTCTCATGGTCGAGTCTCGGCCCCACTGTTCTCATTATCTGACAGAGGCACTCCAGATCCTCCCCCATATCCTTGAGCTGAACTCTCTTCTTCTTTTCCAGAAGCTTCAAAGAAAGATTGAGGAAAAGGAATGCAGGGGGTCATACGAGGTACTGTACTCTGGTTTCATGAATTTATGTCGTTTTTCCTTCTTCTTCTTGTGCAGTCTTACAAAATGAGAAACCATGTCTTCCAAAAATTTAAAGGATGTGAATTTCAAACACACACAAAAAGAACAAGAGAACGCACGTACTGTTTTGATGCACTTATGAAGGATAGATTCGTGGATGAGGTCGAGCTTGCCAAGTTCCCCGATGAATTTAATGTTGCCAAGCATCTTGATCTTGGCAATGGCACGCTGCTCCTCCTCTTCAGAAGTAAGAGGGTTGTCATGTTTGTCATAGACTGGAGTGAAAGGAAGAACAGACGTTAGCAGTAGATAGGCAATGGTGAAATGAGCTGAAAAAGAGACTGCACCTCTTACGAGATAAAACTAAAGCACAAACTTACTTTCAACATTTCTGGCGCGGTTTTCAAATTCATCTTGAAGTTTGGAAATCAGCAGTCTTCTGAAGGTCTACAATAAGCAAAAACATCATTATCAAATGGTTGGATGTAGTTCAACAAGAAATATCAAAGCAAAGCACATCGAAGCGAGCGTATTCCCTATAAAAGGAAGGGAACAAATATACCCGAGGCTTAAAAATGTATTTCACTGTCCAGCAGGATGTGAACAGCCACACTTACTGTGCTCTGCTTTTGGGATGTTTGGATCTCAGATGAAGGGCCATCAAAGTTTGGTGCGTCCTCTGCCAAGCGCAGACATAGCTGAGCATAGAGCGAGCTATACTTCGGCTCTTCTAGGGCTTTGTCTACAATCTAAGCCACCGCGAGGGAAGAGAGAAGGCAGAGACAAGAGAGGGACCACACAGGTCATTAAAACATGTAGTGTAGGGGTATGAGTCACTCGGCACAGCCTGCCAAGAATGGATGAAAAATCTCCAGAGTACTTAAAAAAAAAAAAAAAAGCATACGCTTACCAGCAAGATGATTCCTTTAAGGACGAGTTTTGAATCTACGCCCACGTTTAGGAGCTCAAGGCATAGCTTGTCAAACTTCTCAGGCGTGAGTTTGTTGAGTATGCTAGAAAAATAAAAACAAGAGGGGAAGGGAGAGGAGGCAAGATGAGCAGGTTAGTATGATTATGCAAGACCAAGATCTTTTAATGACATAATGCTGTCCAGAAGGTTTTCCCCATTTGTTTAAGTACATGTGATAAAGTGCCTGAGTGTGAACTTATTAAATCCAGTTCAGTGATGTGTATTGTATTGCCACATTTTTGCAAATACATAGCCGTACCCACCAACAGCAGGTTGCTTTCACAAATAACCCTTAAACATCAAAATCATAAACCAAACAATGACATCGGCAAGACAAAAAGTGCTCACTCTGGAGATTCTACATAAGGTTGCTGGAAAAGTGGATTGACAGAACAGTTCTTCTCTACATCCACCATCACCTTTCTCTTTAGAAAGTAGAAATAAGGACCATTAGGTTGAGCACTGATAATACAGGTATGCCATTTGTCACAGAAAACTACATTCTCCCTTGAAAAAGCTGAGCAGCGTCTGACAGGGGTATTAAACACACCAAGTAGCAAGACAGCTTCTTACAAGCTTAGTGTTTGTTTTAAGTCAAGCTCACTCAATTATTGTTTTATACTGCATTACATCTTAGTTGTAGTCTTCAAAAAAAATTAGCCATTACACCATTTAAACATTTTTCAGCACCTAAGCAGTCATACACACACTGCAGCATCACTTGATTTGCTGTGCAACAGGGCAAATTAGTAATGACTTATAAAACCACAGGCTTTGTTTACTAAATCTCATTATCCACATTAGCATTTTCATTCTTTACTGGCTTTGTTTTTACTGAGAGCGCAGCATTCTGTCAGTGTGTGAGTTCATGTTAAGACTCCTTGATTTTCTGAAATGAATTGTGTTGTTAATAGAAAGGCGTGTCGGCAACAAGAGAAATCATGTCCGAGATGATAATGAGGGAGAACCAGACATTGCAGCTCAGCATAAATCATAGTGTTTATTACCGGTGTACACGTTCTGGAGGGCTCTTTGGTCCTATGTTATATGGATATATAATAAAGTGGGAAGACTACCTTTTAGTCTAACTCTGGCTTAATTATTGGACATAGAGTACAGGTGCAGTGGTTTATTTCATTAATCTAAACTCAGATTAGGGTCTAACATCTGCCCGCTGCGGTGTTCACCAGCCTACATTCTCCTCAGCTTTTGTATTTGTAAACATCACCTGATGCAGCAGAACAGCGCTTAAGTGCCTGTAGCAAAGCACATGCCATTTTAATGACCTTGTAATTCAACACTCCGTCTCTATTGAACTCGCAAAATCAAATCAACTGTGTGTGAACTAATGCATCAAACTTTATGTGAAGAAATGTATCAAAAATACATCAGTGGCAGACAATCGAGCGAGATCTGGGCTGGGTCGGTTTCTGGCTCTGGTTGTACGAGCTTGAACAGACTGCGCGAGCACTTGTCACTGTAGAGGCAAGATGTAGCTCTCCGCGATGTCGACCCTTTGGCGACATCTACTGGGACACGAACTGATAACCACAGCACCAAAAGCTCTAATATAACCCTGTGCCTGACAAACGTCATGATAATCACATCTGTTTGCTATGTTAGCGAGGTGGCTAGCCAGCTATAGCTTGTCAGTAGTCAGTAATGCAACCGACTGAAAGCTAAGTACAAAGCCAGCAATCATTTATTTTGCTACCATTTTTGGAGACTTTGTTGCCACTAAATTTTGTAACTGGGAGCACCAGTGCCACTTGCAGATACGCTCCTGTTTTATTTGAAATGATCATCTAGTTATTTTGTGTGTTAGTGGTGTAAGTAGTTAATCTGTAAGAATTCCTTAGTCCAGCGTGCACGTGAACCGCGGACTAAGTGCAAAATTTAAACATCACAGTGTGAAATACATGTTTATTAACGCTTTTACTTTTTAAAAGTAATAATTCCTTAAATCTCGTTGCAGAGTTGCAGCGACAGGACAGACAAGACAGATGAGTTGTTTCTTACTCTGAAGCACAATGATTGGGTTAAGGAAGAAGGACCAAATTAGAAATCAACGCTCATTGAGTGAAATTCCACAGGCTTTGACTTGAGGCATTTTCAGTGGTGTAACTGGGAAACTGAGCGTGCTTGTCATCATAGAAATAGATCACAAGATTGCTCACAGGAGCGGCTCAAGTCTCCTTGCCTGTTTGTGGCACAGTAGCTTTCATTGTTGACAGGCTGTTACTCGTGTCGCGTAACCAATCAGATAGTGTTGAGAGTGGTGAGTTGAGGGAGACTACAGAGTATAATATTATTATTATATAGTGTATGATTGTAAGCAATTGTATGTATGTGTAATAAGTAAGTTTCAAATGAAAGGCTGTCCGGCATTTCAGTGAACAGAAACCCTTTATCAAGGCTTTTATGGTGAAACACTCGACTTGTAACTCCACTCTCACTCAAGAATGGTATTACCGCCACACTCCAATATTTGGTTTAATATCAAACCTATCTGAATATTTTTACATAGGTCCAACCTTAACCAAGACGTGATTGATAAACTTCCTAACCTTCTGATAAGATGAGCTTTTACTGATCCCCAGAGGAGAAACTGAGGAATCTGATCTGTGTCTTTGATAACTTCAGCATACGACTGAATAAAAGGAGCATTTAGGGGAGGCTGAAATTAGATTTTCTGACAGCTAGGACCAGTGTGTACAATTTAGTGACATCTAGCCGTGAGGCTGCAGACTGCAACCAACTGAATATCCCCCACTTCACCCTCCCCTTCCAAGTGTGTAGGAGAACCTACGGTAGACATGAAAGGCCCCATTTAGAGTCAGTCTCTGGTTTGTCCGTTCTGGGCTACCGTAGAAACATGGTTCCACATGAAGGACTCTGTGGAAGAGGACCCGCTCACTCTCTAGATAAAAACAGCCGATTTTAAGATAAAGAACAACTATTCTTTTTTTCAAGTGTTACTGATGAATACACTTCTGCCATATTCTGTCAATAGATCCCTAAATCTTACACACTGGTCCTTTAAATCAACCTGACCTCAAGTCCAGTCACCTTTGTCCAAGACACTGTTTCAAGTAACTGTTCAAACATTTACTGCCATTTTCTTCAGAAGACCTATACTGGCAGTCCCAAAAGAAAAGTTCTAAGCCAGACCACACTCACTGTTGATCAGATGGGGTTTAGTCAACTCTTGCAACCCAAGGAAATAGCAAAAGAGGTGCTTCTTGTCACTGGGGATAGATAATTAAGTTATTCAAATAAATACCCATACAGGCTTGAACCTTACCCCCTCACTTTCCTGAAGATTGCATCGTGTCGCTCTTTTTCGTTGCTGGAGTTGACATCTCGTCTAGTGCTTCGTGAAGGAACCCATCTCTGAACGCTTTGCCCTGGGGTTTTCCCCAGGAACTCGCTACAGAAGAACAGACAGAGGGACTGAGTACCACACAATCAGGCATCATCACGGCTGGAACAGACAAATACACAAATGCCCTTGCAATACAGGTATTGCTCGAGCACAAAACTGCTTACAATACACATTTTACATGCAAATGCACACTCGTACTACAACTGCTGCACTGCCATCTGTCTATCTTACCAGTCCAACTCACAATAAGAACCTCTTTTTTTTCATCCTCTTATTTACTTAAATAAAAATCAGGCATTATCATCGCAAGCAGTTAAAATAATATTTGTCTGTTTCTCACAAGTTTGAGCGCTTTGTTGCCAATGTTAGGCCTGTAAACACTTTCCTACTTTGTCACTCTTTGTTGCACAATGATCATAGATTGCCTAGTTGGCAAACATGCATGCACTATCTGCAGTTGACTGACATGTTACAGGACTTCTGGAAATGGAGGGGGGGAGGGGGACTACCTACTAATAATAGTCACTGGTGCTATGGCGCTAGTAAATAAATCACTATACATTTAGTCTGGAAAGATGCTAAATGACAAACCTGTTGCCGACAGTCTTGGGATAGTGCTGAGGTGCACTCCTACCACCTCCTCCCCCCGAAGAAGCACTGTAGGAGCAAACACAAGGAAGGGAACACATTAGGTACACGCAACACTGCACGAGACGGAGTGAGCCTTTAGCTTTACCTCATAGGAAACAAGATTAAATGTATTGCTTATTAATTAATTTAAACTGTATTTACACTATTTACAGACCCATAAGGACAAACAACAAAAAATAGAAGCCTTAATCTAGAATATAAAAAAAAATACAAATCAGACAAATGGATATAAAATGTCTTCATTAAATGTATTATGACATAGTTATAACACTGTATTTAAAAAGATTCAAGTTACAAATGTCAGTTACCAGAAAAAACAAAAAACACTCGCATTACAAAATAACTTGAAAGTAGAAACTAAGCAGTTACAATGGTTTGGCCTGGCCAACAGCGTCATGAATAAACAGTGTATGATGTGTTTTCAAGTGACAGAGATGATGAACAATGCACGTGTTTATAAAGAGCAACACCAAATGCAGTACATCTAAGGTAATGGCATTTTGATACTTCCACCTTTTATTAAGTAGTGGGGCAGTTTAGTTAGCTCATGGTTTATTTTCTTTTAACAGGTTGTGGTTATTTTTCAAAACAATTCACTTCAAACTAATGTTTTTCTTTCCTTCAATATCCTTTATTTGGGCAATTCTTTTGAAGAATGCATTACTGATGAACCTACGTTTGCAAGTTACCAATTTACTGCTCACAGATTACCCTACAAAGGTCAGGATAACAACTGGAGAAAACATAACACGAACATAAGAGCTGAGGCAACACATGCACAGTTTCAGGTGGAAAAGCAGAACAAGTTATTTTTCACACTGACTGCTCTGCTGCTGCTATTTGTTCACAGACATGGTCTACTAATGCTCACATTTTCGTCTCGTGAGGTTATATTCAAGGCATTTTTAAAACATTTGCATGATCAACACAACAAACTACCGTATGACATGGAAATAGAAATGTCTGGAAACCTGTAGGTGCACTATAAAACTACAACCTTAAAGCCCCAAACTGACTTTTACACCTAACATAAAGTATCACCAAGCATCTGAAGGCTGAATTTAGACATTTTTATCCAGGATGTGAGACATCCTGTTTACAGTGACTGTGTATACTGTGAACTGGGTGTGTGCTGACTCCAACAATATACAACCAACAGGACAGAAACCCTATTAAGGCTCATTATGTGTACCCAACCCCACTTTTCAAAAGGTTTCACAAAGAGAAGGGTTTGACAGCCATTTTGAGCGTTCCCACATCCTGCTTTGTTCTTAAGGCCGGAAGTCCCTGCCAAAAATGTTAGCAGAGGGCTAAACGTGGAAAAAAAAAAAGGATTTCCATGTAAGTATTTACTGTACAGTCTCTGGTTTATTACCTGAAACGAGAAGCACCCCCTTCTGCAATCACACTCTCCACTTTGGCGGCTTGACAATGAAGAATACTCAAAAGAATAAGAATAATAGGAAGGGATGGGGAAAACGGTGCTGAGGAAGAGAAAAGGGAGTGCAATTATTAATAGTAACTGTCTGGAGGTTAGCACAAACAGCAGACATTTAAATACGAGCTACATCATTAGCTGTAACCCTATCAACCAGACATTTAACATGTCACTATGAGTTACCCAACATTTTTTAAGGACAACGTCAGTCAACCACTTTAGCTCTCAGATAAACAGTTCAGGTCTTTGTTACAGGCCTAGCAACCAAAGAAAAACCCTGTTACCGAAGCAACACCCGTATTGAGGTGCATTATGAAACACAATGGGTCACACACTACAGACGGTGAGTAGTGGTGACCGTGCTTGGTCCAATGCCATCTAAATGCCCAAACGTAGACATCTGTGCTCGCCTTTGCTCTGCTGTAACAAAGCAGAGCTGCGCCAGCTAACGCTAACACATTAGCCAACTGAGCTAGGTTGCTAAATCCATACGTTATCGACGTCACGACATTTATATTTACCACGTTTGAGTATTATAATTATTTTACACAACTCACAGCTGTGGGCTCAATCGGCTGTGTAAAGCTTAATATGAAGAGGACGTGTCTGCGGGGACATCGGAACAGTGTTGTATCTAACCCGAGACGCATGCAGCTGGTTTGCCATTTATTCCGACGGGAGGAGTTAGCGTTAGTTAGCCCGCAGACCGAGCGTCCACACGGGGCAGGGCAGCGGGGTGGACCGCTGATGGTTCTGGACGATTGTGCTTGTGTCGCCATCCCACCATGGATGAGACTTAACGTAAGGATTCAGGGCCAGTTTGATGTGGTCGAGCCCCGAATCCCGTTAAATAAACCCCCGTCGTTTTAAATGGCGTTTGGAGGATGCACTGCTGAGTTTGTTTTTCCGTTAATAATAGTTAAGAGTAGCTCGGCGACGACGCCATTTTCTGCTTTAATGTAAATGAGCTGAGCCATCGGTGAGCTAACAGGCTAAGTTACCTGCCGGCTCGGAGCTAAGTTATATGCTACAGCTACACATTAGTCTTAGCTTCATAGCTAGCAGAAGCCATTTTGGAAGAGCCGGTGCGGTTTTGTAAGGGGGGAAAAATCTGCCTTACCTTTACCAAAGCAACTTCAGTTTTATATTGTTGTGTGACTACCAAAGAAGAAATAACACAGATGTAAAGAAAAGCGGGTTATGCGACGGATATCAGGTGATCAAAAAGCAGAAGAATGAGCGCTCTGACACACACATCAATCCCTGCTTGGCCGCCTGGCTTGTTGCGTTAGCTCGCTGGTGGAGAGCTCAGAAGCTGGATGGGGACAGAAAGTCACCAATTTGCGTTGGGCACGTATTTTGTTGCCATGTCAATCCTGGCCAATCACAAGAAAGATCTGTTATTGAGGCGTTTCCAGTAGCACATTTCGTCCAATGAGAGGCATCTTGACACAAAAGAGGCCGCCTCCTTCAGTTGATTGACACACAATTTAACATCTGCAGTGCAGGAAAATATATTGTTTATAATCGAGATAAAGCAATTAAACACACTCCGTTATTTCCCTTCTCCCCAATCATTAATTATTTACTATTATATGATATATATATATATATATATATATTATACTATGCTATTTTACTATTTATCTTTTTTATCTTTCCTATCTAAGTATTTATTCTATTGTTTTTAATGTATTTTAATTGTACTGGCTGCTATGGACGACCCAATTTTCCCTTCGGGATAAATAAAGTATCTATCTATCTATCTATCTATCTATCTATCTATCTATCTATCTATCTATTAAAAGAAGAGACATTCTTAATAAAGTCATGTGGGCAATAGTGCTTATATGTTAACATCCTGCTTATCTTTATCATATAAACTGAGAATATGGTGGGGAAAAATAAGCCCTATTAATGAGCATTATACACCTTTAAATAATCTAACTTTTCATTTTGCATTTGACACTTGACTTGAATCATATTATTTGATATATATCCTCCTTACCAGACCCTAGCTGTGAAGGACCAGAAGTTTCAATAATGGTAACGGTCCTGTGTTGTTTTTTCCACTGTATATACTTTCATTTGGCCATGTAGCACAAAAAGTCCCATTCTATGGTTGTGTATACTATGTGTGTGAGTAACATTCATACAGATATGAGTAACATTCATACAGATATAACTGTCTACCATATCTGTGTTTCCAGAAGTCAATTTTTGCATTTTCATCCCATAAAGGGAAGCATATCAGAATAGGGTGCAAAAAACATTTCCTTGTCTTGTCTTATTCTGGAGTTAATTTAACTTGTTCCCAGTCCCAATTTCCCTTATTTCAGGAATCATCTGGGAATGAGTGTCTGCATGGTGTAACAAAACAATGGATTACTGCACTAGCATCTGAAAAACTACAGTGAAAATTCTTAAAACAAGTGGATATGTATAAACAGGTGATATAATGTAAAAGGCTACTCCTGGTAGATTTTCACTCTTTTAAAGAAAAATGGTTGATCTAAAAACAGGCTATACACGCCATATTAACTATATATTCAGAAAAGGCCACAAAATGCCATAAATAACCCACCCCGAGTTTCCCTAAGTCATCAGGAGGCTTGAACAGCTGACCTTTTGCTCATTCCTCATGCCCTGCTAGCTCGGTGTTAAAGAAAATCTACTGTCCACTACCAATCACAGTGTAGTCTTGAACAGTTAGCCTATAACCGACTTCATTTTTACTTTATCCACAACTGCCAGGTTTGGAGTCGAATCAGTCTAGGCCAAGGGCAAATTGCAGCACATCTCTCCGTCTGCTGAGAAGAGCATGGGTCATGACCTCCTCTTCTCCATACAGCCAGGAAAATAATTTGGGATCACCCCAGACACCCCAAAACTCTCCCTGGCACTTCCACACTAATCAACCCTCCACCTCTTCACCTTTCCTGTTGCCGTGTTGCCAAGAAAACATCCATTCCCACAAAGGACAAGAAGCAAGAAATAAAATGGTTTTGTGGAGAACACTTGTATATTATTATTAATATTATTATTATATAATATTAGTTACTTTTCAGCTCACATGTGTCTACAAAGGCAATGTAGTACTGTAATAGGGTCTTTGGAAATTGGATTTAAATCCAAATTCTAATAGACACAATTGATACAGGTTCACAGGTAATTACTGCAATGTAAGCGAAATATGACTAATCCATAGCAGTATCTTTTGTTCACTAAGGGTGTACGCAGGTTTTCACTCCAAGCCAACAGTACAAAGTACTGTACAACAGATTTGAGTGATTAATACCCCCGCAACCCCCATCTTGTGATACGAGCTAGTTGAAATGAACCAGTGAAACGTTTGGTTGAAAGGAACCCTGCAGTCATGTTCCCAGTGGGTCTGTCCCAGTCTCGAAGGATGGAGAGAAAAACACAACAAGCGCTGAGATGAAGGAAATGACAAAACATGACGAAGAAAGGTGACTTGTGACAGTGGACGAGCGGGGCGACCTAACGGAGAAATATCTTGTGACAAGATACAAGGGATGAAGAAAAACGGTTTGCACAGCATGTTTGTAGCACCTATATTAGAATGCAGGCAGAACACCAGAACTGCTCTGGCACTCAACTGTAACATAATGTGTATGACATCAACACATCTTACATGCAGGTATGCACTCAGCATCCAAACCGGCCCAGGCCTTTTCCCTTGGAATAGGGAGAACATGCAAGTAAACACAGATTGATAACGAAGAAACAACTGATAATGCAACAGTCAGACGCAAAAACATGAATACTTGTTCAAAATAATGCAATCAGTACAAAAGCTCTGCAGCTAATACTTCGCAATAATACTCTGCAATAAGCTAATACTTTGTAAGCAAACTCTAGCCACTGAAGACCATGAGATTTGGTTGAAAGCTCTGTTTTGACTCAACTCTAGTGTAATTTAAGTCAGTAATGTGCAGGTGTTATTTTGTGCAGATGTTCCCATTATTTTGTACACCTACTGTCTATAATATGCACAAAGGTGGCATATAAGAGCTTAACAGTACAGAAAAAATATGGATGTCAAGGAAACCTGCAGGGTAGGGTGCGGATGTTCAGGGTCTGCTTCTTCCTTTGCTTTAACTTAGTCATATAATTGATGACAGGGATGCTCTGTGAGACAGAAATGAGAATTGTGCTTAAAAGTAGTTCATTCAAGTTTCCACTAGAGGGCAGAATGAACCTTTCAGTCGAGAGAAAAGACATCAAGAGAGTTCACGGACTTGTGATGCACTCTGGGCCCAGATCTCTCCTCGATCCTATCATCTTCCCCTATATCATAACCACTGACTTCAAACCCCGCAGACAAAATAAAACACCTGTGTGTCGTACCCTTGACGACACTATCTTGTTGTTCTCTCCATCTCTCTCTCTCTCTCTTCATTGTTCCCCATGCTTCCTCCAGGAAAACTTTCATCATGCAGGTCTGCAGCAACCCTTCTTATTGCTTCACGAGGATAAAGATCTCTGACCCAATTAGCTGTCTAATAACAGTCCACTGGCCCTCATTTAAACCACCAGCCTGAACCCCCTCCTTTTGTGTTAAAGTACAAAGTGATTACAGATTTAATTAGCTGAGGACCTAGCTTCCATATCCATACTGATGTTTGTGCAGAGTTTGGAGATAGAAGCCTCGGCTGTTGGATTGGGCTCTAGTTAACTGAGACTGATGTTAGCACTTTTAGGCCTTTTTCTATAAAAACACCCATCAATAGGACAGCCGCTAAATCTCTTAGTCCTTTTTCAGTCAGGAAACTACAAAACTGTGCATCCTCTGCTGAGACTCATTGATTCAGTTATTTTCTTTTACATATTTTTCTGTATCAGTTGTCAAAGAATAGACCTGAGTCATGCACAATAGCAGCACCGTGATTCTGTTTGACCTGAATGGAACACAACCCTAATTAACACATGGGTTTACCCCACTTTTTTTTAATGTCAAAATGGCTGCTGAGAAAAAGATCTATTGAATGAATAGAAAATAGTGACATGATCTGGGGTTATAA